ATCCTCTAGTCTTAAATTTAGCCACCTTTTTAAACAAAGAAAAAAAAAAAAAAAAAAAAAAAGTAGTTTTCAGGGTTTTTTTTGCAGAACATTTTACAGACCTTCCTGTGCCATGCTATGTATGGCAGAAGAGCAGGAATTACTAATTTTAGTTCACTCAGTCATTTTCTTGCTAATACAAAATTATTATCCTCTAGTCTTAAATTTAGCCACCTTTTTAAACATCTCAGATACTAAGGCTTTCTGTCACTTCTGGGAAATTATTTCCCACCCCAGTAGTTCTCAGTATCAGGTGGGCACCTGATACCCTCTCAAAAAATCAATAAAAAGAACATAAAAAATGCATCCACAACAAACACCCAAAACCTTCCAGTATGAGAAAATTCCTGGAAGACCTTAAGAGAAACAACTGCAAGGCCCAGGTTGATATTTCAGGCACAAAGGTGCAGGGAATAATGACAATGAGTAAATACCAAGCACCAGAGAAGCCTGGAGAAGTCGAKGGCATTCTGCACCAGGTAGTGACCACTGCTGCAGAAAACAGTTCTCTGCCAAGCCTCCCCCATATTTTAAAAGTTTTTTTTTTTTTTAATCAAAGAAAAAAAACAATTTCAACACTTTTTTCAGCCTTGTCCCTTCTGCCCCCAAATTCTGCTTCAGCTGGAGCAACTTGCTGACCTCAGCTAAATGCATAAATAGATTCAACTGGCCTCTTTTATTCACTGAAGACACAGACAAAGGAATATGCTGCTGACTCAAAAGAAAGGTTGTAGGGAAGGCTTTCTGGAATGTAACAGCAACTTGGTTTGAGAAAACTCGAGGTGATGGCAGCCATCAGGATGTCCCTGGGCTGCTCCCTCTGCATCGCTGCAGCTCCCCTGATGGTGACAGCCCCAGGACACTGCAGTGACATCCCATAGTGAGCTGTGAAAGAGGGGAACACAGGACACCGCAGTGACATCCCATAGTGAGCTGTGAGAGAGGGGAACACAGGACACTGCAGTGACATCCCATAGTGAGCTGTGAAAGAGGGGAACACAGGACACTGCAGTGACATCCCATAGTGAGCTGTGAAAGAGGGTAATGTGGTGTGTCCACTGCACACTGCTCAGCCCAGAAGCGTGAGAACCACTGTGACCTCAGGGCTAGCAGGGGTAGRAACGTGGCTGACAGCACCAAAACCAGCAAGGCAGACACACTGCACTTTTTCTTGTTCTTAAAAGCCAAGATGGGGTTTCTAAAAGAAGCTGCTGGTGGATACCCATTGACATAACAAACAAACACTCCAGCTTCCAGCTCGAGAAATAAAAATTCCCTCTGAGTGCTGTCCAAAGGACACCATCATCCAAAAGCCCAGATTGTTCTTGCCAAAAGGGAAGGGGAGATCCTCTTCCCAACCATGRCACAACTCTGCAGTTGCTTTAGGCCTTGGCAGGCTCATTCTAATGCACAGAAGTATGCCTTAGAATCCTTCACACTTCAGTCTAAGACTGCAAGAAGGATCTCACAGGCTCAGACTAATCCCTTCAGCTTAATATTCTGTCCCCAACACTGGATCCCAAGGGAGGARTAGAACGACAGGGCAAGCATATGAAGAGATTTCTTCTAAATAACCTTCCAGCCACAGCAATTAGTAAGTTCACACCAGCAGCACCTTTATATGGAATAGCCTCCAGTGTTTTATTCTTTTTCYTATTTAAAACCCTGAAACATTTTAGCATCCACTGAGTCAATAGATAAAGCAATGTATGCCTGTTAGCCCACTTTTTAAATTTAAAAAACTAAATCTGCATTACCACTTCCTAGTGTCCACTCAGAAATTACAGAAAGGTGATTACAAACCTACAGCCATGCTTTCTTGGCAAATGACAGCTTACACCCATATCCAGCAGGGAAGAGAGAACTTTTGTTCTGAAGTTTAAAGTGCAGTGTGTTTTGTGCTCTCCATGTTCTGTGGTGCACACGTGCAGAGGATGCCCAGAAGCTGGGTGTTCTCAGCCGAGTGACAGACTGAGATCACGTTTGCAGCTGTTTGCTGGGACAGGACACAGTCATGACACCTTTCAAACTAGAAATGATTCTCAGCAGAGCTTGTTCCTTTAGGCGCAAACACCTTTCCAGCTGTAAGGAGCCTGGGAATGTCCACACAGTGCCTTAGGGCAGCTCTGCAGCAGAACAGCATGAAAGCAGAATGTGCTACAGAGCCAGTTCTTCCTGAGCTTCCACTGAGCCTCTGGGAACTCTGCTCCTCTGTAAAATAACTCTGCAAACATGCAGTAGCTGGTTAAATCCTGCCTAGGCTGACAGCAGTTATTTTTGTCATTTGCTCTGCTTGTCTCTTCTCATGTATATGATTTCCTACATTTTTCATCCCTTTTTCCACTCCCATCTCCTAAATACCTCAGGAAAGGGTAGTTCCTTCAAGCCCATGTGTGCTCTGCCCTTCTCTGCCATTCCTGAAATAGAACATTTCAGTGAGTGTGAGGTGAGGGCATCTGTAACAAAATRCCAATTGCTGCTTCCTGTGGATAAAAATAGTGCATCTGTCACTTAATATACAGAATCCTTTGTATTATTCCRGCATTTTTGAACTGAAGCTAAAAGTCAGTTTGGAAGGTCACATCCTTCCATGGTTGGTTGTTCTCCACTCAAATGTTCTGAACCCACACAGAATTTATACCATTATACTTTGAACTTTCAGGACTCTGAAAATGGACCTAAGCCTCTGCTCAGTCCCTGTTAAATTTGATCTACATAAACTCTCTGGTGATGAGGACAGGCATTTTTGAGCAGTGATGTTCTCTTTCTGAGAGATGTGAAGAAAATTAGGTTTATGTTAAATGTACAAAAGTTGTTTTGACTGTTTTAACCTTAGATTTGGATGGCACAGCCTCATTCCAGAGTCACAAGGGATTTAATTTTTTTTTCCTATGGGCACAGATTTACAGGGAAGTTTTTGTGCTCCCAGTGACCTGCCCTGAAGTGATGCCACAGCCCCCTCCCCGTTCAGCTCAGGGCTGCTGCCMCTCCTGACACAAACCTGGGATTATCCAAGCACCAAAATATGTATATGGACAGCCCCCAGGCCTGGGTGTGACTCAGTCACTCTCTGTTAGAAAAGCACAACTCTTTAATCGGAGCTATCAGAGGCAGAGGGTGGACAGGACTGCTGGGAACTGCTCTATAGAGCTCATCTGGCACAGGTTTCTCTCAGTTTCAGAAAGGCTATTTTTAAAAATGACAAGAGCAACTGAACATTGYACATCACAACAATTTCAAAATAGAAGCCTAGCGGAAAAGAAGGTGGTTTTTTTCACACTTCTATTCACCAAGCAAAGGTGGAAAAGAAAGAAAATTAAAAAAGGTCTGTGGTTTTCCGGTTAGAAGAGCCAGTTTTAYCTTCCTGTGTACAAGATATAAGGGGGCTCTCTGAATTACTCAGTTAACCCATTGTCTAAAGGCAAAGTACTGGGAAAAAGTGCCCAAACTGTCAAGGATAAAGTAGAAAGAATTTAAACAGACAAAATAGTGTGGTGCAACAGTGTGCATGGTGAATACACCCATCACCTAAGCACTGCCACAGACAGGGCACAGCTCATCACATCTCTGCTGCCATGAAATTCAGCTTTTGATGGCTGTGAAGCAGAGCCCTGCACACAGAGCAGCTCCTCAGCAGAACCGAGTTCCAAAAMCAGAGAGAAAGCACAAAAGCCAAACGGAGCCGGTGAGAGCACTGCAGCCACTAGATGGCAAAACCCCCTCGAAATTGCTGCAGTGGCTGCTGCACAGGCTCTGTTCTCTCTTATTCCAGATTCAGGCACTCCCGTTTCCGCCTAAAATTAATTTTGACAAATGCAATCTTTAAATGTACGACAGCTCGTTCAGCGAGCACACAGAGTAAATTTGTGTGCAGCCTTGTTTTCAAGGAGGCACCAGCAGGAGTCTCCAAAGGGAAGGTTGCAGCTCTGCCTTTAGTGGCTTCACACTCTTCCAGAATGTATGTGGAAACCTCAGTAGTGTGCAATTAAAAAAAAAAAAAAAGACAAATGGTGTCAAATTTTTAATTTTGCTTGAATTGTTTTCAACCTCAGGTTTTCTAATTTAGCCACAAGACAAACACAAAAAATCAATTACTACCAGAATGCTAAAAAGCATCATCTACTGAGGGTAAAACCCTCTTCCAGAGTGTCCAGGAGAGTGACATGTCCTCACTTTGGATGCCTCAGGGTACAGCCCATATCAATACAATTAAAACCCAAACCCACCCAAAAGCAGCAAGAGGTAACAGGTGCTGTACATCCACACCAGCACAGACATCCTCATGGATACACAGCTCAAAATTGGATTTATTTATTCTCTCCCACATGTATAACTTGGCTTGATGGCGTATTTGCTGCCCCCTTAAGGCCTATGAGGATGTGGGACCCGATTTCCTGATTTTAGAAAATTATTATAAAAATAAGGAAGGAGATGGCTTAAGTCTATTTCTATCTACCTGCCCCAGTCAGCAGCTACGGAATTGGCAGGAAAAATCCTTCATACACGGAGGAAAAGGCAAGAGATTTCTGAAAAGGCCATTAGAGATCATGCAGGGGATAAATTGGGTCATAGCCAGATGAATTATTACACCAGAGAACCCCTTGGCCTCACAGAGAACAGCAAAAAGGAAAAAAAACTCTATGGGTGGCTTGTGACCGTGAACTGCTCTGGTAGCTCAGGTGCCTGGAAACAAAAAATTGCAGCAAATTGCTTTTGTCCTTGATATATACTGAGAAAGTGCTGTTTTTTAGCATCCAGTACAGCAATTTTGCAAGTTTTTGCATAACTTGAATCACCAACAGCGAAGGGGAAAAATATCCGGGGAAAACAGATCAACACAGTGCAAACAATACGTGCAGTTTGCCCTCTGTTTCTAAAATTCCAGCATTTACCTGTTTCAGACATGAAGTTTGTAGCACATTCCCCACCTTCTATTGGAAATTGCCCACTGGAAAAGAAAATTTTATTCCTTGTATACGATTATTTTTTTCAAAATAATCCATTAGATGTTTTAGGTGAGAAAAAACTATCTCTGCTGCTGATATTCAACTAGTTTTTTAATGTCAAGCTTTTAATTAGCTGAAAAGAATACTGTTTTTTTTCCTTTGTGCTGTGCAAATTTAGTTTCGCATCAAAATTTCATACCAGACTAATTTTTTACAAAATAAACCTTCAAATGTAGAAGTATTWAAATACTCAAAAATACTCAGTCTAGAAAAATAGTCAGTCTAGGATGTTTTCCCTGACTTATCTCAGGAGATTCACCTGAGATTCAACAATCTAGTTAAAATCTGGGAAGAAAAAAAAAAAAAAAAAAAAAAAAAAAAAAAAAAAAAAAAAAAAAAAAAAAAAAAAAAGCTGAAAGTCTTTTTCTTGTATTTGTACAGACTTCAATCCAGAATGGTTTCCAGGCAGTTTTTGCTGAGGACAGGACCAACCTTTCCCCTTGCCCGTGCGTTTTTCTTACGCCTGGCAAGGCAGCGTCACTGCTGGGAGAGCAAGCTTTGATTAGGAAACAGATGTCCAGCCTAAATTAACACAGGGCAATTAGGATCACTCATGAGTCTCTCAAGGCTCCCGAAATGGCCCARGAGATGCAGATTTCCCTGCCCATCTGCGGGTGCACATGGCTGGGATGCGATAGCAGCCAGGGACACTCGAGGATCTCCATTCACGGCTCTTCCCCTGGGGCTCCATGGAGAGCCCAGAGCTGATTGGAAAAAACACACTCTGGGSCTTGAAGAGATCGTTTCTAAATTTGAAAAGCTTCCAAATCACACCCAGCGCTGCCTTCTGCGTATGCAAATRCCCTGCCAGCCTGCAAATGCAGAGCTAGAGGAATTCATTAAGAAAACGCCTTTTTACACACTTTTTGCTCTCTCGCCACATCTGTGCTGGCATCTCTGGTTCCTTTTCGACCCGGACTGTGCCCCAGCCAAAAGCCATGCCCCCAGGCAATGTGAGGGTCCCTTTCACGCCGTTCATCGCCGCTGCAGGGTTTCAGGGGTGATTTATTCACCTTTCGGTGCCGTGRATGCGGATTTGTGCCCGCACGGGGGTGCTCGGCCGGCGCCGTGCGGGCGATGCTGCGGGCGGGGATGGAGCGGTTTCGCTCCATCCTTCAGGCTGCTGCTCCAAAACCCCCATTCTCCCCGGCCCCAATTCCATTCGTGTCTTTTGGCAAGCTGCGAGAAGGGAAAAGCGGCTGTTAACACTCACGGTCACAAATACTGTACGATTGAAAAGGTGCACAGAAGGTGCAATTCCAATAGTGCAATTCCTTGCTTCATGGAGCGTTTTACTGCATTTCCTGATGGTAACAGATTGATGCTATTGTGCTTGTTAGCATGGTCAGCTTTTATTAAAGGCTGTTAGGGGTTTTATCTCTATGTGGATCTTTGAGGTTGCGAGGGAAAGTTCTTTCCCTGGATTCACAACCCACCCTTAGAAGCCAACACTAATAAAGCGTTTTGTTTCTGCCCCACAGCACACTGAAGGCAGCATTTGAGATGCTCAAGCAACGTAAGTTTTTACCTGCTCTCTTCTGCCCTGGGAAACACAGGCACCCAAGGTGTTCATCTGTTCCCCCTCTATTTCCAGCTTTTCTCTCCCAGTCTGTAGAGTAGACAGGAAGGAAAAGGGTCCTTATTGAACACTCAATCCACTTTCTTGTGGCAAAGAAAATTACTTGTTCTTCAAGTAAATTTTATCTGGATCAAGTCAGCAGATAGGAGCTCTGTTCCCTCTTCAGCAAACCAGTTTTCTAAATGTGCCCAAAGCTCAACAAGACCCTTTCACACACACAAAATGCAGCAGCATCATGGCCAATAGGACACTGTACCTGACCACTGGCACCTGCTGTTTACACCAAAACACACCCTGGAAAAGCAGCTGCTGCACTGAGGTATTTTTAGGGCCTGGGGAGGGGAGCTCAACATTTCTGGAAGATGCAGGGTTCCATTTCAGTGGCATCAAAGCTGACAAATGCAGAGAGGTTCCCAGCCATTTCAAACAGCASCAGCCAGGTGCTCTGCAATTCAATCCATTTTGGCTGACCCTTGGGAATTCTCAGCGTGCAGCCTCATCTAATGACTGACATTACTGGCAGCAGCTCCCAAGAGCAGAGACAGCCCCACAGCACAGGAAGGCAAAGCAGACACAGGGATGATGGAGGGCAGAGCTCCTGCCTCCCTCTGTACCACAACTCCTGACCTCCAGCCCCAAAGGAAGGGGGGCAGCTCAAAAATGGGGCCATGGAAAAAGGCAATTGCTCTGCTCTTGAACCCTCAGCAATGTCAGAACATCCAGAAACACAGGGAGATCTCATGGGGCAGCCATATGGCAGAAATGTCTGAAAATGGGACTTTAAAGACCTTTCCACTGACTGAATATGAATTCTGATTTGCTTTAGAAATTGAAAGTGTTGGAAACTCTCATATCCAGCTGGCAGTAATGCTGAGGGAAGAACTGAAAGGAATAGAGGAGTTCCGAGAAAGGCAGAAGGAGCAAAGAAAAAAGGTGAGGAACTGGAGAAATGTTGAAACAGGTTGGGTCAATGGTCTGTGCTGATGACCATAGGCTGGGAATTCTGCAAAAGATGATAAAGCATTTCCAGCATGCYCTGTTCCCTCTTATAGACCTGACTGTGGAACAAAAATCTCTTTCTGATCCCAGCTGGAAATAAAGCAGTGCTCTGAACTCAGGAGCCAGAGGCTTTAGTCCTTTTTACTCTCTCTGGTGTAACTGCAGACACTGTTATTATTATTTCTGTGAGAACTTAATCCTTCCTTTTCTCTTTTTTATACCCTTGCTAATGGGTTTCTTTGATATGACCCTRCACAATCTCCAACATACACTAAATAAAGGGATAACACAAATGTTTAAAAACATGAAAGCAAATTATCATGCTGAATGCCACACCAATATATGCTGAATTACAAATACATGGAAGAAGTAGCATCTRGTTGATTTTGTATAATAAAAATCTGAGTATATTCAAGGCCATTTCATCCGCCATGATCTTACCAAGCCCAAAGATTAAAAAAATAGCTCCATAGACACCACAGTGGCCACTCACACACCTCTGGTTCCGTGGGGTTGAAGACAAAGAGGACAGTCCCTCAACTCTGAAAGCACTGAGTGATGGAGGAGCAAAACAAATACTCATTTCTTTGCTAATTTAAACAGATGAAAATTCATATAACCAGCATCCAGTGCCACAAAAATCCTGTGTCTACCAGCCCCTGACACACAGGAACTTGGRATTGCAAAGAACTCTGAATATGAAAGTGGGTGAAACCAGTGCTTCTGCTGAGATTTGAGGCTGGCAGTGATCTGATGAAGCAAATAAGGCATTAAAAGACAGTGGGCACCAGATCCATCAGTGCTTGTACCCCATTCCCTTTGCACTGGGATGGGCAGAGAGGCTCCATTCTGTTGAGAACAGTAAGCTTATAACTCAACTGGGAGCAGTTAGAGCAGCCTGGGGAAAAACAAAAAACAAAAAAAAACAGCTTTGGAGTCTTAGATAAGCTTTCTTCTCTCTCCAGCATGTGGCTGTGAGGAAGCCAACATCAGACATGCTGGATGGTGTCAGCAGTTTTGGTAACCCCCCAAAATGCTGCCATTTGTGYTGTACTGCAGCTGCTCTCAGGACTGTGCCCAGTGAGAAACATGCCTCTGGGTAGCCCTGGAGAGAGTTTTGCTTGAGCAGAATGTAAAGATGAAAGGAGCAAAAATCCCCATGAAGAAACCCATCCCCTGCCAGTAGGAGCATATCTCATTGTCACATACAGCTGGCCATAGCACAACTAAAGCCATCCAAGAGAATCCAGCACTGTCCTTCCAACACTGCATGGAAATCAAATCACACTGAGCAAGCTGCCAGAAGCAATGGAACACAAAACAGACAGGAATTGTTTGTGTTTAAAATGGACAGCTACCTGTGCTCATGTGGGTGAGACAGGGGCTTGGTCTGCAGAGATGTGGGATCAAGCTCTGGCACCAGCAAAGGAGCCCACAGCACTGTGAGTGGGTGTKGAACTATTTCATCTCCTTAAGAACAAAAAAAAAAAAGGAGGAAGAAAATGAAGATCTACATCCTCTCTGCTATTAATGGAAACCACCAAAGCAGAATTATCTGGGATTATTTTTTTACCTGGCACTTTGATGTTCTCTGTATCACTTAGAAACCTTTGTCATTTATAAAAGTAGAGTGAAGTGATTTTCCCCACAGGGAAAAGGTGGCTTGTAGAAAGGCCCTGACTGTGGTTTTCCTAATCCTGCTGCTGGAAAGGGGAGGCAGAAGTCCAGAGCAAGAATTGCTGACTTGTGTGTGTTTCTTACAGTACGAGGCTGCAATGGAGCGCATGCAGAAGAGCAAACTGTCCCATTATAAGAAAACAATGGAGGTAAGCACSGARGSCTTGGGCAGCTTTCCTGMTGCAAACTGGCTCCAGTRAAATCCATATCACGTGTACCTCTATTTAAAGAAAGATCAGAGCTTTGWTGAGTGTGCAAGAGTGCGTGTGAGRGAGCAAAGATGTCATTCCTGCTGTGAGCAGAAGCTAATCCTTCCCTGCTGCACTCACTGAAGAGTCTCCAGAAGGTTAATGTGGGATGAACGGTGCCCCAGGTCAAACAGGATTTTATTCTTTCTAGGCAAGGGTACTTAGAGGAGTAAATATAATTCTTCAGTGTGTGTAAATACAATTTGAACAGTGACAGAATCTCACAGGCAGGAGGAGCCCTCTCCAGCTGCAAAGCTTGCAGSTACAGAAACTACAGCTGGGTTTGGTTTGCAATGGGCAGCTGCCTCTACAGGAAAGAAGCTGCAGACCTGTCAGTGCTACAGCTGGAAAAGTGCTGCAATCTTTATTGAAATACGATTGTTCTAAGTGAATTTCTCAGATACGGAGACCTTGTGGTGCAAATAAAGGTTTCTCTTGCTTGTGAGAGCTACACCAAGGCTGTTGCCTGTGGGGTGGTSTCTCTGCCTCACAGATGGGAGCAATGGGCAACACCTTCAGGCACCTGATGCTGCAAGGCACAGGGTGGAGATGCCAACCCACCCATGGCTGAGAACATGGGCTGCTCATTTAATCCATCCATGGCTGCCTGGGTGCYTGATGCACCAGTGCTGCTAGAGCTGCCTGTGCATTCCTGACTCCTGCAGGGAGCTGCTCTTGCACAAAGCAAACCATTTCAGGGCTGCAGGAAAAGGACACAATTTGTGCTGTCAGTCCCTACTCCAATTTTTCAGTTCTATTTTTCTATCTCCTTATGGTGCCATGGGGATTTTTTTTTTCTATTGCCCAAATTGGGCACTGATTTGCTCCCCCAGACTGCAAAACTGAAAGTGCCTGGAATATCACAGTGGGGGGAACCAGCCTTGTTCTCTCAGCCAAACCCTAACATTTATTTTGTTTCCATCCAGTCCAAGAAGACCTATGAGCAGAAGTGCAAGGAGGCAGATGAGGCTGAGCAGTCCTTTGAACGCACCAGTGCTTCAGGCAACCAAAAGCAAACAGAAAAGGTACCTGAGAGCTATTTAGAGTTACCTTTTCAAGGTACAAGAGAATACAATTAACTAACCCATCCTGCAGGATGCCAGGGGCTGCTTTGTCTCCAAATTAACCCCACAGAATCCCCTGGGAAGGGACTAACTTATTTAAATAATTTATCCCAGGCTATGATCCAATTGCACTATGAATCCTGAAGGGAAGCTGAATGAGATTTTTCTCTGAAATTATTCATTAAGAAAAAGAAACAAGTCAAAAATATGTCATGCAGTTAGTTTTGCCTTTTGGTCTCTTATATTTAGTAGGCATAGCATCTTACATTAAAATGCATATTTTTCCTCAACATTTTTCTCCTTATGGTTAGTTTAATTTCAACTAAATTTACAGACTCAAAAATAAATCGTTGGAAATTAAAGCACTGCAGTCTTTCATTGCATCGTCTTGATACTTCTGGCTGACAATTTACTAACTTTTAATGGGAACATTTTACAGTGAAACAGATGGAGAAAACAAAATAAATGAACTCCCTTTGGCTCGATAAAAATCAGTGCAGTGTAAGCAAAAAGGATCAAAAATCATCTCAGGGAGTGAGGGGGGGTGGTGTGGAGACTCTAAAAACAGCATCAGAACTTTAYATTTTATTTCCAGCATTCCCTAATCTTTGATGAACAAACCCCTGCAGCTTAGCTGCAAAGAGGGGATGGAATCCCAGCCCTGCCAAAATGACACCCAAACACTTCACAGCTTCAGTGGCAGCTAAACCTGACCCAGCTCCTTTCATCTGAAGGATCCCAGGGTGCTCCAYTGCCATTTCTCCCCCACGCATGCCAGCACGTTGGGAATGCACAGAGGCAGCTCACAAACTGCTTAATTCTGCTYAGCATTCACAAACAGTTTGGGCCAGCAAGCAAATAAGAAGGAAGCTTCTGTTGCCAGCTTACTGTATATTTCCCAGCCAGCTGTGCTGAGGAATATGATATCAGAACCCCTACCTGAGCTGGTTTCAAGGGCAGGATGGAAGGATGCATTGCACTGATGTCTGGAATGTGCATTTCTGTGCTGTCATTGCCATCTGTGCACAAAGACCTGCGAGTGCAGAGCTCTCAGTGATGGCTGCTTTTTCATTTGCTAAAAGCTGCAGGTTTTTAAAACAGGGATGTTCTACTTAGAGTGAATTTTGCTTTTAGGCTTCTGAGTTGTAATGGGAAATAATCTGGCATTTGCAAATTATTTTAAAAGCTGTGTGCTTTTCATCTGTGTATTACATGAGGAGCTTGAAGGATGAAGAATTTTAATTGCCATTTATTTCTGCTTATAAATATCTATTAGAAAAGCACATCAAACAATTGAGAAAAAAACAACTCAGCAGGCACAGCTTCAGGCTGGCTCTGAGCTCCTGTGGCAGGGATAGATACCTGAATGGAAAGATTTCCCTTGAAGTCATCGGGCCTATGGCTGCACCTGGGAAATTCTGGTAATAATACATAATACACATTCARCAGAACTATGCATAAAGAGGGGGTAGAAGCAAAAATATTGTCAGAAATTAATTTGGGGTGTTTCTTTTCCTGTTTCAGAGCCAGAACAAAGCCAAGCAGTGCAGAGATGCAGCAAATGAAGCAGGTGATGCTCTCATTGCAGCTGAACTGTGATTCTTCTCAGCAAAGAGCTACCAGYACAGGACTTGGATAGAACACATCCAAATCACCCAGGCTGCCTATGAAATCAGGGTTCCCAGAGCCACCTACCCTAAGATTAATGAAGAAGCCTCTAGAGAACAGCAACATGACAGTCACCTGCATYCACAATCCTTTGTGGAAATGCCAGTGTTCTGCTTTCATTTCAGAATTGATAGAAGAGCTCCTTTAGGGTCTTCACCCAGAAAAACTCTTCTTGAACCAAGTTTGAAAGCACAATAGACACTCAAATTCCCCAGACACAGCCCAAACCAGCGCCCCCTCTCCATGTGCATGAGCACAGTAGTGTCCCCTGAGCACACAGTGTATGCCAGAACAGGCAGCACACACCTGAGCTGCCTCAGGAGTTCAGGCTGTCCCTCCCTGCTCATGCAACAGCTTACTCCAAATCACATCCAGGCTTACACCAAACCACATCCAGGCTCACACCAAATCACATCCAGGCTCACACCAAATCACATCCAGGCTTACACCAAATCACATCCAGGCTTACACCAAATCACATCCAGGCTTACACCAAATCACATCCAGGTTTACATCAAATCACATCCAGGCTTTTACACCAAATCACATCCAGGCTTTTACACCAAATCACATCCAGGCTTTTACACCAAATCACATCAGGCTCACACCAAAACACATCCAGGCTTAGACCATATCACATCTAGGCTTACACCAAATCACATCCAGGCTCACACCAAATCACATCCAGGCTTACACCAAATCACATCCAGGCTTACACCAAATCACATCCAGGCTCACACCAAATCACATCCAGGCTTACACCAAATCACATCCAGGCTTACACCAAATCACATGGCTTACCTGGATGGCTTGGCATGGAAAGAGCTTAAGCATGCTCAGGGCCCAGGCTCTTCATCTCTGAATTCCATTATCCCTACTGGAAAGTTTATAAATGATCTGGAAACCCTGCATAGAGAATCTTTACTCCAGTATGAAGTTACAAAGAAAAAACCCTAAAGATTATTGCACCCCACCAGTTTCAAGCTCACACAYTCCTGTGATACTCAAGCAAGGAAACTTTACTCACAGTAAAGCAAGGAAGGGCTGTGTCACTTTTTCCCTGACTGCTGGGTTTCTGTTCTGTGTGTCTGTGTTTACAGAGAACGTGTACAAACAGAACATCGAGCAGCTGGATAAGGTCAGGACAGAGTGGGAACACGAACATATCAAAACCTGCGAGGTAAATATTGACTTTTGCAGCTATGTTTGCATACTCTTTATTTTATCCGATTTGAAGATTTCAGTCTAAGGCCTGAAATACCATCCCAAGGGTTTTGCTGTTTGCTTTGTGTGGAGCCTCAGTAGATGTCTTTGCAAAATCACTGCAAAAACTAGAGCTGATTTAGACATAGCTGCTCYTGGCTCACTGACACTCCCCTTGTCAGCATATCCACGTAAAAATAAAGGAGGGGAATCAGTGCAGAAGGGGGAGAGGTAGAGCAATAGGTGAACTGGTACATACCCCAGTCACTCTTTATGCTTCACAGCACTTTAAATTCACCTGCAAKAATATTTGTCCTCTGCCATGGAGTATTCTTTCAGTTGAAAGGCAGTGGTGGTAGAGAAATCTCTTATTTCCATTTTAATGAGAATGGACAAGGGGATTTGCACTTGGCTATTAAGTTTTGCACCACAATTTACAGGAACTGTTTGGCATCCATATCAGCCACACATTTGATCACAGTAATCTTTCAAGTACATTTGCCCATCTGCTAAACTCTGATTTTGCCATATTTACTTGTTGCAGGCTTTATTTCCACATAAAATAAAATGCCGGGAGCATAGCTTTCCAGTTCTCTGCTTCCTCCTAAATATTCCCTATCTGGGAGGACTGAAAAGCCCCACAACTGGCACAGACATTTCCACAGAAATTATGCCAAGCCTTAGTTTTCCACAGATGCATATTTTCTCCCTTCTTAAAAAGCCAACAAACCAGCAAACCCACAACCTCACACTTTTTTTGTCCCACATGGCTAAATCCTGACTAGCCCACAGATCTTGTGACCTGACCACTGTTTAATCCAATTAGCCATYCATAAAGGAAGGGATCTTTAACGCCTTTTTTTAAAAGTACTTGTAGAGAAAAAACTGATACTTTTTTGGGKTTTTTTTGAGGCATTTAAAACTAACAATTAGCACAAAGAGCAGCTTAAAATCCCAATCTTTTAGTGCATAGTGGGAAATCTGGAAGTGCTGGGGTTGCTTAGACCTCTGAGTGCTGGACAGCCACAGCCTGAAAATGAAAATGTTGGCTGGCAAGTGGCAGCGCTGGGGTGACTYTGTCACAGGGGCTGTGCTGCATTGTCACCAGGTGCCAGGCTCTTCAGCAGCACCAAGGATGTGTCAAACACAACACCCAGCTGTGCTTTGCTGGGTGCTGACAAAGGCTTAAGAGCCCAGAGCCACTACAGTTCCCTCTTGGATTAACTGCATTTCCTGACAGGACAACATTTACCTGGACAAATCCCCGTTGGCTCTGGTGCTTTTCAGCAGCCTTGAGGGCCACAGGCTTTCTGTTSAGAAGTGGTGTTGAAATACTCATTCTCCACCCTGCAGGTTCTCYTTAAAAGCTTTTACTCTCAGAAAGCAGTCCCCACAATAGCTTACTCCCTTGACAGATTGCTTTTTCTGGGTTTTTTTAGTCGATAAGTTATTAGATGGCAGGCAGCATACCCAACTGAGTGTTCTGCTGAATGTTGTATACATTTGTGGTGTTCTGGACATAATTACTAGCAAATGGAAATGGAGACAGATGGCTGGAAGCATCTGAGCTTTTCACACCTCATAGAAAACCAAAACCTGATGTTCTACTTATAACAGTACAAYGTAGAGATCACGGTGATTTGGTTTTTTAAATTTTTTTAAGAAAGAGCTTTTTTGCCTCTTCCCCCAAATCAGTTCACACTTCTCTCTTCCCCCTTCATTCTTCCTAAGCAGTGCAGCAACATGAGGAAATCAGACAGAAGGAAGGGAGTAAACTCTGAAGACAGAAAAATGCCTTCTCTTTATCACAAAAATAACCTTAGATACACAGAACCAACTCCAGAGAGTCTCCAATACTTTCAAAAGAGAAAAGTTTGGAGAGGTATTTTAGATGGCAGAGGTGGATAGTTTTGGCTCTGCCTCTAACATAAAATATAACCCTTTCATGCCAGTCCTCTACTGATTTGTTAAACCCCAAGATTTCAGTGTGATAGGCAGAGAGAGCCCTGACTCTGAAATCCTCAACAGTAGAGGTAGCAGTCAAATCCAGATTTGGATTCCTCTCCCCTGCTTTGTTTTTGTCTCTAAAACATAACTTTAATTTGGTGCAACCAATTAGAACAAATTTTTGAGCACAAACAGTAGTTGTAGTTCCTCCCCTAACTGAAAAAAAAACATCCTTTACAATGGGGCCTTCAGAACAGGTTTGCATCCCCAGCCCTTTCACAGCCTGCAATGCAAATAGCTCAGTATCACARGGCTGCATCACATTTCCTCTTTGGCTTTAGGTCTTCCAGCTCCAGGAGTGCGACCGCATCACGATCCTGCGGAACTCGCTGTGGGTGCACTGCAATCAGCTGTCGCTGCAGTGTGTGAAGGATGATGAGGTACAGCCTGGCTGCCCTTCTCTGCAGTGCTGACTGTCTGCAGGGGAATGGCTCCCTCCTGGTGGCTCTAGATGTGACCCCGGTGCATGTCTCCATGCACACAGTCTGTGGCACACTTGGTGACACTCACGTGTCTCCTCCTTGGTTTATTGGGGAACACTTCCTGCTACCAAAACACTCATCAGTTGAGTTTATTTGGGCCCTGATCCAATTTCAAAAAAAGCATCCAGTCATGGCCTCAAAATTGGAAGACATGAAKGATACACTAGATTTGACTTTGAATGGTTGTTTCTTGCTATTAATTATTGCATTGAAGAGTCCTGGACTGCCTTTGTCCTCCTGTCTTTAAATACTATCCAGCGCACAAACAAGTTTGTTTACAAGGATATTTGTACAGGGGACAGGCCAAAGATCAGCCAGGTCAGACATGCACCAAGTGTAAAACGTCTTCTAAGGGGAAAATTACTACAACAGCATTAGTCGTTAATTCAATGTGAAATGTTAAAAGTTGAACTAAACTCTTGGATTGTGTTTTGTAGCTGTATGAAGAGGTTCGGGTCAGCTTGGAGAACTGTGTTGTAGAGTCAGACATAGACTACTTCATTAAGACRAAAATGACAGGAACACAACCTCCAGGTAATTATTTCCATTGATTTGTCAGATGAGTGTGCAGTACACGTCCTTTGGAGGTGAAAGCAGCTGGAGGAGTTTCTGCTCCTGCTCTTCCTTCCCCCTGCCATGGCTCACCTCCCCCTCACTGCTGCCATCGCTGCCTGTGTGGTGCTGGAAGTGGGATAGCGGAATGATCCAGCTTAAAAATAACACTCCAAAGAAGAAAAAAACTTGTTTTGGCTTTGCAACCAGGCTCATTTCACAGTACAGCTGAACTGACACCGCTAAGGAGGTGGCAAATTGCCTTGCAGAGATGGCAACTTCAGCTTCCTGCAGTGGTGACAAGTCAGAGCCAACTTAYCATGTCATTGCACCCCAGTGTCCCCTTGACAGAGGTGCTGCCTCTTCATTTGCAGCGCAGAGAGGGCCCAGCTTTCTGCTCTGCTCCCCATGCCCAATGAGGAATAACAAATTTTCTGCTCTCAGGAAGTTGTTTGCATAAGTCTAGACTTCGGGGGAAATTCTGAATGAAATTGGCCTTGCCCCAGCAYGAAAAAGTGCTGTCAGGTTCACAGGCTCTGCCCATTCAAGCCAAAGCAGCCTTTTCCTTGACTTCAATGCTCAAAACCTTTGGGCTGAACCAGAGATTGACAMAGCAAGAGGCAAGAGCAGTTGTAAAATGAAAACCCACTGCTCCAGGGTAGGAGTTCTCCAAACACTCTGCAGGAAAGGCACTGGCACAAACCACACCCGAGTATTTCAACAGGCACTACAAGATAGCTACAGGCTGGTTTCACCTCTGGGCAGCAGCTGCAGTGAACACTCAGCTGATGGCACATATCTATGCTGAAAAGATCTYTTCCTCCATTTTTTTTCAATCTGTGCACAGATACTCTCACTTCCACTCTCTGCTCTAACACCAACTGCTACGTCAGGAGAAAATCCCCTCTGCAGTCCACAGAGCTTGCTTATTACAGTCAGCGTGGGGAAGAAGCTATACTGGCACAAAAAAAATTTATCCTGATCAAAGCCTTCCATTCTAGGAGTTGTACAGCTACAAAATCAGCAGTTTGAAGGCCCCATCCCTGGGGATAATTATCTTGTACAAGAACAACTTCCACCCCTTTGATTTCACTGCAGAGCTCAAAGCTGGGGCCTTACAGCCCAGGACCTTCTCCAGCAGAGTTGAGTGCTGCCACTAACTCAGCACTGAGCTATCTGAGGCTTGCTTTTCATTCAGCCTTMTGATSATTAAWAATTGGGATTTGGRGATTTTTTTTTAAACTAATATATTGATACTGGTGCACTGGATGCCATTTTGCTACTATAGTTTATTCTTTTTCACCCAGGGGATTTAAATTCACTGATACAGGAGCATTTACCCAGGAAAAATTACATTTGCACTGGCAGAAGGGAGAACTGTGCCTTGCAACAGTGCAAAACTACTTCTGTATACCAAGAAATTTGTAATTCTCAGCTAGGTTTTTTTGGGTTTTTTTTCCCTATGTGAGATTTGTCATTCTCCAGTCACCTAGGCAATTTCTGCAAACAGCTCTTGGCTATGTCAGGAGTAATTTCTAATAAGAAATAGGTGGAAAAAAACATTGAGAGCTTTATGAAAGGCAAAGAAAAGCCTGACTTGCTTTTTTGTTGTTTTTATATTTGCCACCTTCTAGAAGGTGACGTGTTCTGGAAGCAATATCCTAATATCTCCACAGCTCTGGCTAAYGAGTTTGCACTGCAGCACATGGTGAGCTGTTGGTCTGTGCTATTATTTGCAAAATGCAGGAAGAAACCCAGGTGCCATTTTGCATGGTGTGGGAGAAGACCTTCATCCTGACCAAAYCTTGATGCTCTTACTCACTCCCTTTTCTACCCAATCTTTAGAGAATTTACCAAGGTAACAATCCAGAAGGGCAACAGGAGACCATTAAATTGGTCAGAAACCTCCTTAGTTACGTGAATCTTACTTGTAGGGATTCTTCATACTCAGTAGCTCTATGTGCCTGCTCTGCTTGTTATCTTGGCTGACCCAGTGTGAGAATGTCAACRTAAGCTTTAGCCCCAAGCCCAATGTCTTTCTTAACATGCTGCTATCAGGTTTGAGATAAAACATTATCACAGACTTCACTCACATTTGTTTGGCTCTCACACTGAGCAGGCAGAAAGGGTGTGTGGCCTCCAGCTGGAAGAAACTATACTGGGAACTCTGAGATGACAAATAAATCCATCTCTAACTATTTCATCTGTAAAGTTAGACTTGGAAATGGTCTCAATTTCACCCTTAATGACACCATAGGGGAGAGTGAAGGAGCTGCAACATAAATATGTTTGAGTGAACAAAACCCAAACACCTCTGGGTAAACAGCAAATAAGCTCTCAGGAGATATGGGGGAGATATGAGAGGTGGGGAAACACACAAGCACACACCAGGAAATTGCTCGTTGTTGCTACAGGCAGTAACACTCAGGAATCTCCCCAACTCTGACTGGATACATTGAGGAAAAAGAAACAAAATACTCGGCAGCAAATTCTATCATGAACACAATCCGAGGCTCATAATGACCATGCTCTGCCCCCYTAATCCCTGAGCTGTGAGGCAATAGAAGAAACAGCCATGGAGGAAACTGCCTTCCTCATTAGGGTACTCACATCTCTTAGAACRGAGCCTCGGGCCCCTGGCTGTGCCCAGCCCAGCTCGAAGGTGCCTTGCACCAGGGACAGGGCTGTTTACAGCCACTGCAATGGCTTTGGTCAGGCCCCTGGGTTCACCTGAGCTGCTCCAGCCACATTCCAGCTGAGGGCAGACAGATGCTGCACTGCATGTTGCTCCAGCAGCCCCAGGTCACATTCTGGCAGGGAGAAAATGTTTTTTCTCAGTGTTTTCCTGTTTGGACATCTCATTTTTATTGCCCTGTTGCAGATGCAATAGGGTACGAGAACTACTACACCAGAGATTCCTACAGGCGCAACAGCAGCCCCACCCAGTCCTGTGGGATGATGAAGAGGTGGGTGACAAACCTCAGTTCCCAGAACAGGTATTTCCCCATTTCCACAGCAATGTATGATGACAGAAAACGGGACATGAAGTTATTACTTCATTTGTAGCAAGAGGCAACTATGTGTCAGTCAATGTGACAGAAAAAGGAAAGGTATTAGAAGTGAGTCAGAGTAATTTTGCCACAGCCTAGTGGGAAGAGGGACACGGGGTGAGTCCATCACACAATTACTCAGCGAGCAGTCACTTGTTTCCTCTTTCCTTTGAGTCAGAGCACGTAGCAACAAAACCGATTTGTTCCAGGGGGAGYAAAGGTGAAYCTGGCTGGGAGCAAAGGCYGGGAGAGCCGTCCTTTGGGGCAATTCCTCCTGGCTTACTGCACCACTCAGCTGAGCAGAACAAAGARCTGCTCTCTCTATCTGGATCAAAGGGGAAAAACGGAGGGCGGAGTAACTGATGATTAGGGAGGAAATTTTTCTTATTCTGATCCATTTCTGCTCATAAATGTTGGAACATGGATACAGTTGTATCAGCAGAGGAGCAYAGTATCTCCACTGGTTTAAATATTTTATACTAAGATGGCTAATTCAGAGTGGGAAGGGCATCACAGTTAAAGCAGAAGAGATTTATATTTTAACAAGCCCTGTGACATGACAAAGACAGGCTGTGATCTCCCATTTGAAATGTGGTCTAGGGGSTTACACACAATACTTTTGTTTTTCAGTTGGAAACTGGATCTTCTCTAGTAATGAATTCAGGGCTGCATCCTGTGCAGTTACATAAGACAATTGTACTGCCATTCAGAACACAACTGTGCGCAGCATGGGCAAGGAGCCTAGACTCAGCCTGAGTTTTTCAGGAACTGTTGAGATAGGATATCCATTTTCCAGAAAAACRGAATGTTCACTAGCTGAAAAATCAGACCCTTTCAATACGCCTTAAGCAGGCAATGCTATTTCTATCTCTGCTTGAGAATCCTAACCCATTTTCTCACTTTACTTAGTCTTCAGTACCCAGCTGTGATACAGGAAATAACTAAGGAGAGATTAAAATAAAAATTCACTTAAACTCACAGCTTTTAGAAAGGCTTGTTACGCAAGMTCTGTATTTTAAATTGTATCAGAATTTTCTTTAAACACAAAGAGATTTTAATCTCTTACAAGCAACTGACAATTGTTATCATTTTAACATAGTGAAAGAATTGGAGTTTCACACCATGAGCCTTTGGATCTACAAAACAATTTTATCTGCTGCATTTCATGCACAATTTAGTGATGGCTGATGGTTCAATATTCTGCTACATTTTAAAAGATACATTTTTAATGGAAGATAAATATATCTACAGCATAAATGAAAATAGAAGACCATGGGAAAAGGTGGCATCTACTCAGTGTGAAGCAGATGGAGGRAAGGCTGAGTCAGAGAGCTGAGATGAAGGAATGTTCATACTCARGCCTGTTCACTCATTTTGGTTTTGTTTTCTCTTGCTTCTACAGATTCTCTGGACTACTGCATGGGAGCAGCAAAAACAACACAGAAACTTCCTTCAACACACAGGCCATTCCTTCAGCCCCTCCTCTGGGTACGCTCTGCAGGAAATCAGTTWAACAGATGTGTTTGTTTTAGATCATGTTGCTAAAACAGGCTTTGACATGGAGCAGAAATGTTCAGCAGATATTCACATGTTGGCAGGCAAGAGCAGTCTGGAAATGAATTTTACTTGGATGTGTATTAAACAAATTTCCCAGTTTAAAATGCCAAATAATCCACAGACTCTTCAAAACCTCCATCTAGGCAGGAGGGGAGTGGACATTCAGAACAGCAGTCTGACTTAGAYATTAATTTTCTCCTTGTGTAGAATAACTACCACTAAAAAGCCCAAGAGAATACATAAATTTTTTAACAGATGAAGCACATGGCTTATGAATACAAATATYCATCTCACAGTTACAGTTGTCTTGTAATCCTTATAACCAGGAATTTATCAGATGATATTAAAAACACAGTATTTTGACTAACAGTTTAAGACATTTTTATTGGTTTGATAGTAAACAAAAGCATTTTAACTTAGATCCTACCAAAACAAAAATGTTTTTTAAACAGCTTAAAAACCATTTTTATTGGTTTGATTGTAAACAAAAGCATTTTAACTTAGATCTTACCAAAAGAAAAATGGTTTTTAAACAGCTTTAAAATCAACTGCCTTTGTCAGGCCTGCCTGCTTGGGCAGCCAGAAACTCTCACTTGCTGCTTTTGAGGCTTAGCAGGGGAAGCTCCCAGACAGATTCTGGAAAGAAATAAAATGTTTCCCTAATTACAACAAGCTGGATTAAAACAAAACATCTGCAAAAAAAAAAAAAAATTATGTCCTTGACAAATAATTATAAGAACTATATAGACCACTGGAAAATGTCTGCTGACCCACTGGAGCAGTATTTTCCATTCTTCTCAAGGGGAAAAGAAAAGCCTATGTGAGTCACTGAACTGCTAGAGTTTTACCCCCAGCAGCAACCTTTGAAAACCATTTTAATCAGAGCATTTTCCTCCTTGGACCACTTGGATTGTGTTTTACCAGGGTAAACATTTTTYCCAACCTGGATGAGGTTGAAGCTAGTTTCTGACCTCCCACAAAGTTCAATGGGTGTATTGTCATCCCATCAATGGGGAACAGTTTTTGTGCAAGACTTTACCTACAGTTCACAGCAGCTTTTCTATACGTGTACATCTCCAGGCAGAGAGAGAACAGAAAGCCTTGTATTTGTGAACTCTTGCATATGATCCCACGCATTTATAAGCAACTGAACTCTTTGTTTCTCTGGTGGGTATTTCTTCCTTATTTTTTTCCTCGCTAGCAGAGAGAACAGACGGAGTCTATGCATCCATTTTTGTAAATGAAGAAGCTGGGATCACATCATCACAGGACTACAAAGTACTTTATGACTACACAGCCCAGGTAAAAAAAGGCTTCAAAATAAATACTTCACAGTGTCAGATTTAAAATAAAGAGTGCCAATTCAAACATCTTGAAAGTGTAAATTCTGTGAAGGACATGTTACAGCCAAGGACAGGATTTTTCCTGCTCCAGTTTAGCACACTGCTCTCTGTGCTGGAGAGGACTGAATCCCATAAAGAACTTTCTTTCCCTGCACTTCCATATTGCAAGCTGCAGAATCACAGTGGATGCAGTTCATCAGTGAAAAKATTGTTAAAGAGAACAACCTGCATCCTTAACTGGGATACTGAACTCACTCCAGTGCTAGCTAGGCAGAACACCATTAGTAAAAGGTTGTGAATGGACCCCAGTTCCTTTACATGTCAGTTTAAAGGTTCCTTTTACTAGCTTTAGATCAGCAGAAAAAACAGCATCCAGGACATCTTATGTCTCAGTACAGAGAGAGCCTCACAGCAAGGGACCTGCCATCAACAGCCAACGTTGAAGAAATGACAGTGACAAAATAGATAGCCAGATAAATAATGAAAACAGAGATAAGACTCAAAAGAAGCACTTTCCCTTAGGTACAACAGTATTCCAACACCTTTTATTAGATGTTGGGGTTCTTTTGGTTAGTTTTAAACTTTGTTTTATTACTTACCTGACATTTCATGCAAGCACAGCTGAAAGCACCTCACTGTTAATAGCAGCTCCCCTAGGGAGACTACTGGATCACCTCCTTACTCCAGGAGTCACCTTAAAACTGTGCCACATACAGATTTTCCCTGCTGAGAAAAGAGCCTGTTACTACCTTTACTATATTGTACATTGAGGCCTCTGATTTTTTTAGTTGATTCTTACCTACTCAGGTGCATTAAATTCAGTTTTAGCTGACACGTCAAACATCTCTGGAAGCCTCCCTTCCTCTGTTTTCTATTTACTGCACTGTGGRCAGCAAAGTGGTTTCCTATGGAAAACAGGACAGCACCATGGAACACTGATAGCTGCCTGGGAGCTCAGGGAGAGCTTATTTGCAAATGCTGCATTGTCTGCAGATGAAAGTCATCGGTGTCGAAGAGTCACCCACTGGTCACTGCTGCTCCCTACTAAAAGAACTCAGAGACCTATTTCAGGCATGGATTAGCAGAGGCACTGTTATCCCCCTTAGGAATTAAGCTGTGCTCTGTTTTATTTAGCAACACCTGCAGACTATGCAGGTCACGGTGAGCTGGTTTAAGAGAGTTGTATTTAACCCTTTTCAGACTTCCCCAGCAGGARGAGACACCATGGAGGCTGGGGGAATTTGAGGATCTTAAAGAAATAGCCAAAATGCTTCATCCCTGACTGTCTGGTATTTCAGACTCATTGCAACCAGGATACCAGCAGACTGTTGATAAAGGGCAGAATTAAAAAAAAAAAAAAACACCAGATCCACACTGGGGACCTCCTGTGCTCTCAGACTAACCACATTTCTTTTCCCTGTCTCCTTTCAGAACACAGATGAACTGGACATCAGTGAAGGAGACATTGTAGTTGTCATTGCAGAAAATGAGGATGGATGGTGGACAGCAGAAAGGAATGGGCAGCGAGGCTTCGTGCCAGGGTCTTATCTTGAAAAGCTTTGATAAAAARAAGTCCCAGCCCTCAGACTTTACAAATATTCTATTACTGAAAACAACCAGCACTCRAGGTCTGCTTCAGCTGACCAAGGGCATCTCAATAATGTTTTCTACAATTATCAGTCAGAAAAAGAACAACTGACCATGCTTTTCTCTCCCTTGCTCCTGCCTCATCCCAGCATCTTCTGGCCTACAYTGTCTGCAAAAACCATCATCACTGCTGAGAGATTAGGATTAGGATGTCTTGACATAGTCCTACCCTCAGCACACTGTGCTGCTAGCAGCATTGCAAAGCTTGGCAAAACAKGGAGGAAAATCCTGCCCAGATTTCAACTGCATGAAGGAAAAAGGTCAGGGAAGCAAGTGCAGGATAAAGGACTGTCCTCCAGCCAGCCTATGAGCCACCCTCATGGTGACAGCAGCCACCTTCTCTGCCATGGATCCCCTTCTCTCCCTGCACAGGCCATACTGGCATTTTTGACAGTGGATGGTTTATCAGTCATTGACAAAAATACAAAAAACAGTGAATGCAGCAACAGAGGAACACCTGAAGGACYGAGACACATCCTTTATATGAAAACTTGAGGCACTTCCCATCACAACCATCTCCTCACACAATGAAATCCATGCTAGCCATGGCTCTGCTCTGCACTGGATTCTGGGACAGATGATGGGCCCAAGGCTTGCTTTTGCCTTGGTTGGAAGGTTTCCCCAACATCTCTCTGGGATTTTGAAGTTTAAAAATCCAACAACACAAAGAGCAGCTAAGCCAAGCCTCCAGCAGTGCTGCACTGCCATGATTGCTCTTCTCTGAGCACCGAGGAATTGCCAATTGCCTCTTCCTGCAATCTGCACACCCGTGTCAGCAGGGCAGCCTTTTCCACCCGGCTCAGCCTCTCCTCCTCTGCCCCAGGCTGCTCTGTCTCCATCTGCTGCCTGCAGCCTCTGCACTCTGGGGTTTTTGGCACAGGGACATCCTGGTTTCTTTCCAGGCACTTTTAATGTGCTCATTCTTCAACAAACCCTCTTCAAAGAAGGTTGTATTTGTTGGTTTGAACATTGTGCAGGTTCACTGTATTTCACAGATTTCAGCTCTTATCARTCTTTCTAGTTTAATATTTAAGAATGTTTCCAACTGTTACTGTGCTGTACAAGGGATTGATGAACAGCTTCTGCTACCCCTCCCTTCCCAGTATTTCAAGATAGTTAAAAGAATACTAAAACCCGGTGATTTAATTTGAATCAGAGCAAACTATTTCTGGGGGCAGAATGACCCTTTCTACAGTATCACAAAGGTTTCAGGTCTTAAAACTGAATCGAAACAATGAAAATTAATCCTATTGCTACCTGAAATTCACAGGGGAGGGAGAAACTATTGGCTCAGGCACAGCAGGAAAGAAAAATGAAATTTAGATAAAGGAAAAAAGCTATAATGGTCAATGCAATCTTTCCTTAAATGAAACACAATGAAGGTCAGAGACACTTGCAGAACCTTATTGGAATTCTTCAAGAATGGAATAGAAGTTGCTGCAGGCCCTTTTTCTTTAGCTCCCTGCAGTCCTTTGCACAGGCACACCTGTCCTTCCYACATTCCAAGTGCAGCACATCCATATCAGTGCTGAAGAGCTCCCAGCCCCCAGCATTAGCACGGGCTCCTGAAGAGCTGGGATGGCACCGAAGGCAGCAGTGTAAGAACAGCAGTGCTCACCCAGGCTGCAGAGGGAAGGAGAGGTTTCTGTGACTGACAAAGATACACAATAGCTTCAGCTGGGCCAGGACATTGTGAGTGGAGGCTGCCTCACAATCACAGCATCCCTTGATAGCTACTGCAGGAGAGGAAACTGAAATACATTTAATGTATTTACTTCTTGGACACTCAATCTTCCACAAAGACGACTGTAACAGACCAACAAATACATACATTTAGGTAGATATTTTTCAGATTCTTAATTAAACAGAAAAAAAAAATAAACCATTGAGATGCACTTGCTCTAATGGTGTGTGACATATTGATTTTACCAGGAGTCCTTGCTTCTCTGGGGGCCCAGACAACCTCATACAAGGCACTGTGGGGCCCAGTCCTGATTACCCTGAAATCCTATTACGGACCATCTTTGCTTCCAYGGACCACATGGCCTACATCACAGACAGCCAGCTAGAGGAATGGCGGCTGCTGTTTCTATCCCATCAAATCATTCCATATTTTTGCTGTTAAAAGTCAGGAATACAATTTCCTTTCTACCGATCTCTTCTTCTGTCAAGTAATTACTGTTGAATAGCAAGAGGCTGTGGGTATTTTGAAATCTCCCCAKTATCACAGCATTTGGATGCCACATGCTAACTCCAGACTGTTCAGGAAATGAAAAAGCAGCAGCAAKGTTTTCTCATGAATCCTCTCCTTCACATTGTCTAGATATAGCTTGGAACTACTTATCAGCCAAATTCTTCAGTTTGGCCTATCAGCGTGGCAGCACTTGTCACAAATAGAACAGAGATATCAAGAAATACCCACACCCCCTGAGAACATCCGCATTTTAGATGTCATCCATCCACCCACCCCCATCAGCAGGAAAAGCAGGAAGGTCAATTGTAAGTTACTGACTTAATAATACTGCCCTTATTAACATTTCTTCTCCAGTTTAGTAACATTTCGGCAATAAAACTGACACAATCAAGTTATTACTCAATTTTCAGCTAAGAAACTGAAATGGGCCCTTTCCAGTGGGAGGCATTCTTACTCTAAAGTCAAAACATGCATATTGTTCTTTTTTACAATTTACTATAAATTAAGGAGAAGAACAGGAAAACCTGTGCGAAAAAACATTCAACCAATGACAACCACWTGCAATTATGAAATGTCTGCAAGTGCAGTGTGAGGTCCATCTCTGCACAGAACAGATTTCTGCATATTAAAAGCTGCATATGGTATATTAAGAGCCCMTAAGCCAGTAGTAACAACAAAGCAGTATCAGACTAGAAACAGAGATCCAARAGACCCAGCTCTAGGACAGCCAACACAGCCAGGCCTCCTGCCAAGCTCACTGATCTGTAGAGCCATCCAGCCTCCAGCATTTCTGACAACTGGGCAGCTGAAAGGAAGAAATCWACCTCTTCCCAGCTGAGCATGTAGCAGCAGGAGCACAGTGACTGTTCAAGATTTGAAGTGTTTGCCACCAGCTTGAGTTCTGTAGCATCAACAACCCCAGCAGACATCAGCCAAAGGGGTGACAGGTCACATACACAAGGCATAAACAGCAGAAACTCTTACCTTGGTTTCCTTCTTGTCTTGCTTCTTCAAGAGGTGCACTTGTGGTCTGAGTCTCCTCTCCAGAGACAATTTTCTCCCAGTTGCAGCTCCTACCTCACTGATTACTGAATGTAGTTTAACCAGAAGCCAAGAGGAGATGTATTACAAGCCAGGCACCAGGTGGGGGGTGTCTAATAGGAGCCTGGCTGGGCATTAAGGAACACCTAAGCCCAACACTGGTGGGTAACTCACACCCTTTCGGTACCATGGAACCTCCTGGCAGTATCACTGTGACATGGCTGAACTGTGCAGCCTTAGAGAGCACAGGGGACTCTGAATCAGGTCTATACAATCACAGCACAAAGGGTCACTGTCATTTGGTGTGGAGTGGGAACAACTCTGCACAGGACAGGATAAAACATATAGGCCTGAACGGCAGCCTGTGCTGCTCAACACTATCTCTTTTCCCTGGCCTTCTTGTTCACCAGCTTGCAGGGCTCAGACATTGAACACAAAAGCAGTTACCAACCACAKGTATCAGTACTTCACAAGTCCTTAAACAGAAACTACACTCAGAGCTAATGAGAAAGGAAGGAAACAAAGTTGTGATGCTGAGTTTTACCTGGCTTCTGGAAAGTACCYGGCTGCTAGGGGACTACAAGGGCTGATGGGCCGGATTTTGTAGGGGAAGGATACTTGTGTGGAGAAATTAGATTTTGGAAGAGGAATTAGTGTCCTGCCCATGACTAGTTTATTAGCCCCATCCACTGAGAGGGAAAAGAACTTCTAGTCAAAACTCTAAGCCATCCTTTGTCAGCAATTACCTAATTTCAGCAGCCAGCTCACATTTTGCTCAGAGCTACAGTTATCTCCAGATTTGTGCACTCCTGCATCCTGCACTGTGCAAATCTGATCRGTTTTTAGAATAGCTGAATAATCATATTTCCATCAAATTAGCCAGTACACATGGTCCACTGTTCAACTTGTCCTTCTASCAGCTGCTAAAGGGCAGCCGACACCTGATCTGGCACAGAGCTCTGGGGTACCACTAAGTGCACATTTACAGCCCATCACTGCTGGGTGCCATGCGGCTGCAGCCGTTCTATCCCACACACTGCCCTAAAAGGCAGATTTACCGTGTTTTTCTATCCTGACTGAAAGAACAGACTAAATCTTGCTTTTAGATACAAAACTCTAATAGAAATCACCATGACCTCCCGGCAAAACCGGCAGAAATCAGAGTTGACAAGCCTGAAACTTCTAAAAGGAAAGACAAATCATCCAACACCACCAGGCAAACAGAACTCAACCTGGAGCAGAGCTATGGGTTTATAATCAGGGATTCCACATATCATCTTGAGGACAGAGGGTATAAAAACTAGGGGGCAGAGGTGAAATGGGAACAGATACCCTRAGATGTTGYTTGAAATCAGGAGGAATTTCTTACCAGATCTAAAAAAGCCAGTGTTAACCAGATTTGAAAACATAAAATAGCACATGTATCCCAGATTTGCTGCCCTTACCAGAATTCAACTAAACCACCAAATCAAGGCAGACATAAAGAGAAGCATCCAATGTGTTAATGGGTGCAATGCTGAATGAGCTACAGCTGCATAAATAGTGCTTTGACTTAAATTCTCTTTGACTGAAATTCAGGCATTTACTGAAGCCTCTGCCTCGGGGTAAATGGACACAGTACAGCTAAAGACATTCCAGCCTGGACTTGAATGAAATTTCCTGCGTGGAGGATTACACACTTGGATTGTTCAAGCAGCCCAGGCTAAACCCTGAATAAATCAATGGCTTTGTGAAGCAAAGGTATGACTGGAGAAGTYGCACCTCACACCTCACTTTCACCATTCATCATGGGGAGCTTGTAACTCTGACACTGAGCTGAAAATCCTCCTGGCACACAGCATTTTGGTGATTGCTCAGTCCCAGACCCAGCGTAAACAAGCTGGCAGTGGGTGGTGGTCGATCAATACTTGCAATGGAAAACCATGTACAAAAGAACAAATTATATTGGGCACGCAGTGCTTGTTTTGTAATAGGACTGGATGGCTCTGAGGAAGGGGGTTGCAGACGTGAGATTACACTCACACTCAATGCAGGGAGCCTGTGGGGGAGTTTAGTGCATTCCCTTCCACACTGCAAGGGCTCAAATGCTCAACAGCTGCATCTAAAGAATTGTTCTGAAATTTTAAGCTGAAAACAGTCCATGGAGGAACTTCTTGGGAAACTGGTGAACTTTAACCTTCCCAGGATAAGAATGCTAACATAAGTGTGAATGGGAAAGCTTTCAATGCGCTGATAGACGTGAGAAATGCTTTGTCTTTAGAGAAGGGTGCACAGCCCTTCTTGTGTCTGAGCCCTGGGTGAGGAAGGGAGACTTAAGTGACAGTGACTTTGTTCTGCTGAGTGGCAGCTAAAGGTTTTACTAGGTCACTGCTCAATTCAGCAGCCATGGGGGGATTCAGAACTAAAGAGGGATAGATCCAGGCATCTGGAGAAATGCATCCTCCCTGCTTTGCAGGGTCCTTCACCAGCTTTTGTAACCACAGCACTTATCAGCACAAGCTCTAAATTTAACTTACTAAATTTGCTCAGTGTCTGTAATGTATCCTCAATGCACCATTTTTCAGTGSTGAAACTGTTACTGTACAGGCGGAAACAAAGCTACCGGGATAAACAGTGGGTTTAAGCTTTTAAAATGGACATTGCACTCAAAGAGCAAAACCACTTCATCCAGTGCCAGGCTACCGATAACAGGCATGCTTCCCAGGATGGGGCATTCTCCAAGGCCTGCAGTACCAAAAATGCTTAGCTCTTCAGCATGTATTGGGAAATAAAGCACTGCCTGTTGTCTGGCAGCTGTTGATAAAGGCTGGCACAGGACTACTCAATGCCACCTTGGCCACAGGTGACTTATCCTTCTCCCGATTGCAGGTGAGAACGTATGAGCATCACCCCTGCACACCTGATGGGGTAGCAGACTTGCTCAATGCAATTCAATGGCAGACTCATTGAAGCAAGAGCACATCTTGCTGCTTCCTTTGTCCAGGTGGGAGAAAAACTTCAGAACTCCATTCAAAAGCAGTTTTCTAGACCAGACTGCTTTTGCATGCAAGGCACCCTGGATACTGTCAAGCCCAACAACTGCTAGTGGCTTGTTCAAGCATTTTATTTACATGAAGAAAATGCATTCCATTTCTTCARTCACAGCCTGACCTAGCAAAGGTCTGACAGCACAGCTATCCTGGAAAATGCTTGATTTATTCTTTGAAATGGGGCAGGAGCCCATTTAGTGAAAGGAGCTGGTGCCTGAAGCACCACACATCCAAATGAAAGCAAAGCAGTCCATTCTCTGGAGTGTCAACAGGAACAGATCCATGGTTCCACACCGCTGTTGGCTCCTGTTACCAGGAGCAACCCAGTTTGCAGGCTTCCCTCTGGCAAAGAAAGGAGTTTCAACTCAAAAGCTCTGACACATCTTTAGCATTCAGGGTCAAGAAAAGCAGGTGAGAGAAAATGTGGAAAATGTGTGGTTCAGTCCGTATCACTAGAAAGAAGTGCTTCCTTGTTTGCTCCAGAAGG